CGCCTGTCTTCCTCCCTCCTTCATCCTGCGTCCTCATTTTTCATGGTTTTCAGTTATGCGAGCGCTGATGAAATTGGCGAACGGGAGTACTGCAAAGCGCTCCGATGGCTGCATCGCGTCGCCGCGTGGGGAATCTGTTTGCTCATTTCTATTTACGAGGAATACACGATCATGCAAACCATTGTGTTAATAGAATGTGCCCGTATACCCCATCTCGAAGGAGGCATACGGGCTGCAAGATCGTAATCGGCTGCTTCGCCATATCGTTATCGCAATCGACCGTGTAGCCACCCACAGGCGGAAGCTTAACTTCACTCACAAAACACGCGCGCGTGCAAATTCGATCTGGTACGATGTTCTTCGTGAGGTGATGTCTTGATCTACCCATAACATCTCGTGAAAGAGGGAAGAAATAGAGGGGAGTTATTTTCGCGACGCTAGCTGAATTTCTTTTTGACATTGCTCAACTTTGGAAAATTGTCACTATTTTACTTTTTCAAAACTGTAAATATCCCAATTTTAATTAAATTCTATATATTTTCACAATACGTATGTTAATTTTTTAGTTTTTTAGATTCTTTTTCATCTTTTATTCCTTTAACAAACGAATAAAAAAAGATATTTAGCAAGAATGGATAAATTATTGAATTATAAAGAATTGGATTATAGATTTGTAATAAGATTTTAAAAACAAATATAAAAAACGTTTAGTAAAAAAATTAATAAATTACAAAATTCAACTATTGTAAATAAATCGTATATAACAATTTGTTTATAGCTTGGAATTTTTTTTTTGATGTCATATTTATTCAGACATGTGTATTAATTAATCAATTCAAGTGCAGTACAAATTATACATTTCGTAATGCCCTTTATTATATCTCGTCGCAGATTGTAGAACAAAAGATGATAAAATAAATATCATTTCCTAACCTCGACTTAGCTCTCGTGCAATTGCAGTCGACTGTCGGCGTCGTTCGCGAGTCGTCGATTTATCTGAACGGCAAAAATCCAGCTTCTCGATCGCAGGTAAAAGGGAATACGCGCTCATATTGCTACGAGCCGATCGAGCGTATACCGCGACGAATTGCGACGAAGCGAGCAACGGAATAAAACGGCTAGAAAAGAACGGACCCTTCGGCAATGCACTCGATACCGAAATCGACGATACCATCCATTTCGAAATATCGCCGGTGCAGTTGCCGAGCCAAGTGCGACTGGAATAGAAACTGGTCGGGAAAACTATGGTGGAGTATCGTAATGGTGGGACACTTTGTACAGGCATTTGCTCCGCTTTTCGCTATCGTAACGGCAAATAAATATTGCTTCAGTACCGGGCAAGATTCGACGCGGCTTAGCGCGGTAAAATACGGCGTAGACCGTGAAAGCGCAGCGTGCTTTGACATTAACGGCATTACCGCGTTCCCTTTTCATCGCGCACAGCCATTAGTTCACATTAACGTGAGAAAGAATTTCTGTTTCTCGCGTAGTAATTTCTAAAGAGTTGAAAACGCATTATAATATATACTTTTTTGACGATGTAGCCATATACACGAGAGCCTGAAAGCTAATACATATGATGTGTCCGTAACGAAATTATAAATGTTTCCTTTATAATTTTTTATTCTTGCTTCAGATTGAACATTTTTAAGTAATAAATATTTTGTAATTATAATTTTATACACGTAATCTTTTCTGTCATTGTGCAATATATATATATCTGTAACTTTACATCATTATAATTTTTCTTTTTATTCTTGAAGTTTTACATTTTATGTATGTATATATTCTACAAATTCCACACACATTTATTATTTTTTTATTTAAAACTGTAATTTGCATACGATAATTTACATATTGAAAAGTTCCGTTTTTCAACATCTATATGCATTTTAATAGTGAAATGTTGAAGCTATGCATAGACAGTAGGTACAAGAGGTACGTACAAAGATAAAATCAGGAATAAAGGTGGTTAAATTTAACGGCGAAGTGGAAAATTTCACTATTGGTGTTTTCCACCGAGTTCAAAGCTACAGATCAAACAACTCAGATTACGTGCCGCGACTGGAAGGAAGTTTGGAAAATCATCCGGCGAGTGGGCAGTACCCGTATTGTTCTCGTGACCGGTGTTTGCTTAACCCGCGCCATGACTATAACAAGAAGTTATTGTTGCCACGGAGTGCGGAGAATGCAGAACCTTATTGAATTCGTGCAAGGTACAGCGAGAAGGGTAGCCTTTGCGTATCGTGAGCCGAGTTCGATAGCTTTCATTTCCTAGTGTTCATCGAAAGTTGAGAGAGAATGCTTTATTGGCGAAACAACTCCTTACTGAGGAACGTAAAAGTTTGTCTTAGCAACATGGGAGATTGCACACACACACACCCATTTTTAAATAAAATATAAGAAAATAATTGATTTTTGAATTTTTCAATATTATATAAATTTGTTTAATTCAGTGAAATGTGAATGTTTTAAAAGTTGCTTTTACTAATAGTATATTAAAATTTATATATTTAAAAGCTTTGTGTAGATGAGAACTCCTAGTATCGTTAAATGTCATATGCTATTTATCTTTTGTTACATTATTTATTATATAGTCGATATTATTATATTTATATTATTACGTACTCGATATTAATAATATTCAGGATTTTTCTCATTTGCTTTTGTATTTTCCGCAACAACAGAGAGGACTAAAAAAATTCCCGTTTATCGCAGGTATAAATTAATTCCACCGTAAAGCAACAGCGAATTAATTTCGTAGCCAGTAAGAGCATTTCCAAGGTACCTACCGACCTTTTTGATCCCGTCACGCTTTCGTTATGCCTTTAGCTTCAGCGTGCGATTTCCGCAATTTTCACATGTACCTCGTAACAATTTCAATTTCTACCCACGCTGAAGTCCCATTTTCCCCGGCATACAATGGAAAATTTTATCGGACGCGTTCTATCTCGCCCTTCTTGCCTGCGCACAGTCATTCCATTGGGCTTTCCGATGCCACCCTTCGGAAACCCGCCCGTTCTTTTCTATTCCCATTCAGCTATTCCTATGGGATTATGATAATGACAATCTCTGCGATCGTTGAAACCGTGATTAATAACAAGTCGAGTGATTCATAATAAATTAAATAAAACTCGCGTGAAATACATCACATAACTGATAACACACTGATTATACCATATATCATCAAAGTAAATTAATTCGAGATACATTTCTCTGATAATTAAAATTGAAAAATAAATTAATTATTGTTTATATTTAATATGTTACTTTTAACATGTATTAATTGACATATTTAGTCATCTACGAACAAAATAAGTTTTTAATAAAATAAGTTTTATTTTATTTTGTCTTATACATAACAATTATAATCGGAGATTACAAATAACTAAAAAAATATTATTTTTAATGTTTTTTTTTATAAAGAATAAATCTTCATTAAGCTAATATTAGATACAAATATATATATTGCTGGTATTATGCAAAGCAATGTTTGCAATTCAGTATGTTTACAAGATATTAATTAGCATTTTGTAAATCAAATGTTGTGATTAACGTGGTCAGAAATGCATTAGCATTGTTTATATTAACGTATGATCGTTTAAATTAGGCAAATGTGTGTGGACAATTATTACTATTATTAGTTTACTTACTATAGTGTATAAATTTCTAGATACATCATACTCGTAAAGTAAAGAAAATTGTGCCAATAAAATATGAATTGTCGAACTATAAGCACTTGAAATATCGTTGTCAACAATAAAAACTAATTTTTTAAATATTATATTGGTTTTAATATTATTAGATATGTTTTGTTTTAGCGCGCGAAAACGCTAGAAGACGGAAGGTATAAATATATTTATATATGCGCATGTTAATACACTTTACGGTTACGTAATACCTAGTTTGTAAATTATTTGCTCCTATATAAGATCTCAAAGAGGATAGTGGTATTCTTGGCGCGAACCGCATCGTGTTTCGTGAATGCTAAACTCAATTGTGTACAGGAACCGTGAGTAATGGCGTGACGCTTTATAATCCCGGAAGTTTGGGCTTAATCAAGTACTACTTATTACAATTACCTACGGCATCCGCGCAACGCAGCAACTTTCAGTCCACTCGCAGCTGCAACTTCTGATATCATAAAGGATTTTGCATCTAATCTCGTTTGAATGTACGCCATACTGAGTTTCCATATTCATCTAACTTTGACTTTGACTTTAGTGTGAGCCCGTTCAATGTTTCATCAGATAAGATTTGTCCACAGGTTCACGTACCTTGTTAAGCTTTGCAACACTTTCTTAAACGACAATATTTTCTTGAATAATTTGCAGGTGCAACACAGTGACGCGCATGAAATCTACAAGTTGACATTAAATGTTTTTGTGTGACCAAAATATAAAATATCTGTTTTATAGTACGAGATTATTTGTTGAAATTTTATAAAGCAAATTTTTATTGAAAAAAAGACGACAAAATATGATAAAAAGTAGAATATTTGTTATCAAATAAATATTAATTTAAAATATATGTACAAAGATAATTGCATTATTGTATGTTAATAATATTAATATGAAAAATTATATTAATATTATTAACTTCATTATGATTTTTCTGAAAAATTAATTGCATTAATTATTTTGTATATTAATTGAATAAACTGTGTGAACTGTTTATCTGTGTGTATTATATATCATGCTTTATCATCTGACCCGTTTTTATATTTAAACTAATTAAAAGCCGTGGATTAAGATTTTACATTATAATTAAAAAGAAGTAATTTCTCAATTATAATTTTAACATTTATATGTATGCATATATTTGTTTTATTCTTTGATGCTAAAATAGCTTCTGAAAATAATTTATTTAAAGTTATTTCTTTGAATACGATAACTTTATTCGATAGTATTTAATTTTTTCGGATTAAAAAACTAGAAAATTTGCAAAATTTTATTTTACATTTTTAGACATTACTATTAACATGGCGTATTCTGTTTCAGGTGGTTCTAGTATCGCCAGCGTAGTAGCAGGTAGCAAACCGACGAGATCCTGGGACAAACCTCAATTCGACGATATTGCACCGCGAAATATCACTGCCATCGTCGGTCAGACGGCGGAGCTGAATTGTTATGTCAAGCATCCGGGGGACCGTGTGGTGAGTAATATTTTCATGCTACATTTGCCACGCATCCGTTGTTTCTCTCCTGTTATTGTCAGATAAAAGTTCAAGGGAATTCTCATCGGTGGTGTATACCAATTTCTCTCAATTTTTCCAGCAGCATTCGATATGTTTATCTTTTTTTCAAGCATAAAGCGATCGTGACGATTTTGCTGTATAAAACGATCTTATTATAAAAGAGCGGAAAGATTTAACTATAAGATTTTACTACATTTTATATCAAGAAAGCTGTCAAATGCACGATGCTATTCTTCATTTCGCATTGTTTCACACCTTACCGCGCTGAGCTGCTATTCCATGTTAGCGTCAATCTCGAAAGCTAATCGCGTTGATTAATGTCGCAAAATTGTTAGCTTGAAAAATGATAAAATAGTTTCCACAGTACAGCTCCTGCATGACGTTAAGTTGTCGTGCTGCTCTGAAATACCCGAAATAAAGATCTCAGATTATGGTACACGCTCTTAAAACCCTTACTAGCGCAAATTACAAAAGGGCACGCTACAGAGAAATCGATTTAAGAAGACAGGTACGCGTATGAAGGCCTCGAAACATAACTCTTTTTTAAAATAGCGTTGCACAAATAGAAATTTTTACTCAATAATATTGTGATCCATTCTTGATGAGTCGCAAAATATGGGTGCTTTTCTACGTAGTAGAAATAATAAAAGTTCTTTTTGCAATAATTTTTGACGTGAATACGTCACATGTGAGATACGTATATATTTGACAAACTTATATGACACATAAAATTGAATTATAATTGATATGCAATTTGATTGTACAATTTAATTATACCAAATATATTTGTTCTCGGACAACGTAATCGAAAAGACAAACATTTCTATTTTACACACATTTTCTACTCTACGTATGGTATGTTAACAAACATATTTGTTATCCTAGTTGCGATTAATACCGCGTAATTGCAAAGTCACGTCGCGATTGCGCGCAAAAGCGTGCGATAACTTTGCGCGCGCCGGCATAGGAAATCTCCTTCAGAAGAACGTTTATCGTTAGGATGCAAATGGAGCAGCAAAACTTTCAAGTCTCTCTCAACAAGCGAACAATAACGCTGTCCTGAGACAGTTCGCCTGTAACTGCAAACAGTTACTGGGGAACTCGCGCGATCCAACGTGCGGCACAACACAACGGCGGCGTTTTCACGGGGTCCGCGTGCAGAATGGCGACGCGATAAAAACGCGCGCGGACATTCTTGCTACGCTGCATTTACAATAGCCAGCAAGAAACGCAGCGAGGAGTTCTCGGTCTGATTAAATGCAAATCTCGCCGTTATTACGGCGCCCGAGCGCGGAAGGCGACGTCGTCGTCCTTTAACATCGCTGTTCAATTAACAGTCGTGAGATTATTTAATTTTAAATCGGTAAAGGTAAATAATAATTAATGCGCGTCGGCTTCGTGCGAATTCTTGTTCGGATTTGTAGAAAGCGCGATCAATAGATCTTGCATTTTCTATGATTTCTTAATCTTTTTATGATGACGCATTCATGGCGAGTTGCAAAGAAATATTTATAGCGTCGTTAAATCTTATCGACTAGCCGCGAATTGTTTCAGGTATTATCTTCGACAAGCATTAACGGATCGTTAAACTTTAACGACCCATTAGTACTGACGGTACAGAGAAAGTCAAACGTTGAATCCTCGCTTTGCAGGAAATTTGAGTTTAAAGCATTTGTAAAAGGACATTATCATTTAATTTAGTTGCTAATTGCTGTTCAAGATTGTATGTATATACTTATCTATTATATTAATATTGAATATTTTAACCAATACGCATATACAATAATACATATAGATTCAGATTATTCATTATTACTACACATCGGAATATTCGAAAGAATGATTTTGCTGAAAAATCTAAAATTTTGCTGGATCTAAACATAATTTTGTTGAAGATTATTATATTATTTTTAAACCTATATCCTGCAAAATTGTAACTTTTCTCCATATGAGAAACTGCAATTATAAATAAGATAATTATCTCTCTTATAATATTTATTATTTGAAATAATACTGCAGGTGTATTTCAGAGATGTACGGAGATGACAGTTTTGCTGAAGCATCTAAAAATTTATCTGGCTATAAAATAGTTTTGTTAAATCATGAGAATAATTATGTAGGACGATCAAGCATAATAAGTAATGTTGCAATTTCGATATTCCAGTAATAAGCTTGAACAAGCTCCATAATTATTTCGTATGAATTAACAAAGTTATTTTCAAAGCAGTATTTATATAGTTGAATTTTTGAATATTTTAGCAGACCGTTATTTCCCTGTATGTTGGAATTTCTTTTTTGGGCTTTTTCTTTTCTTTTATTAATCAAATAAAAAAATTTTGAAGTTTTATTATATATCTATTACATAATTTTGCAGCACTACTATAATCTGTCTAAGATTTTTGTATTGGAATTTAATTCTAAAGAGTGAGAAAGAATGACAGTTGAGACTATTGAAAAAGAGTGGCTCAGTTGTCAATTTTTTAAGAGTAAGATTTCATTTCACTCTTTAAAGTTAGATTTTACTTTATAGATTTTAAAGAGATAAGTTAAATATTTAAAATCTTGGGAAGCGCTATTTCTAAATTTAATCATAAACCGAAAGTTATTTCTCGTGTTTAATCTGACTTTTATTGCGATTTTTATGCCAATTTTAATTCTGTAACAAATTTATAGAGGAATTCCGAGTAAACTTATCGAAACAGTAATTTTGGATGGTTCGCATAGTTCAGTTAGAAGTATTTCTTCCTCTGGAATTGTTTGCAAATACGAACGAACACCTCAGAGTCGGTTATTGTTTGTTCTTGGATATTCTAGGTTCCGTTTGTGCATTCGTTTGCATTGTCTCAACCTTGTTACCTATTTGGAAATGTACGTCTACAGGTTCATTAACACTTTGTGCAACGCGGGCGATAATGAAGTGTGTCCTGATGGAATAATTATCTCTGTGTGTAAATGGAATGTTCGCCCATTTTGTCGTGACAATTTATTGTTATTTCGCGCTCACTCGATACCTGTACGTCTTTCTACATATGCATATGTTTATATTAAAACATGCTGCGTAATACGAAAGGCTCAAAGAGAATAATTAGGCGTTAATTTTCATTTCTCCATTGTTCCAATTAGACCAAAATTTCATTTCTCAGTTGATCTACGCCAATTACATTATCTGACTTGTGTCAAACCGCGCGGTTTCTGGAATATTGTACATTGGGCACCAAAGGGATTCGATTTATACGTAAATGTTCGCATAATTATGGGTGTTTATTTGGTGTAGCATATGTAGCGGCGCGATATCAATATGTACATTAAATCCATTAAAGTTACGTAATGAACAATTGAGGTTTAATGTTTATTTTCCACTGCACATTCGCGTATTATTGCATTATGGGGCGTATAATATGATCGCGTTCGTCGCGCATACGGATGCGCGTTATACATTATTAATACAATATTATTCGTTCAATTTTGATCGCGCGCGATCATTTGCGAGTTTTGTAGTGTTTGAACAAAACTGTTAACACGACGCTTAATCAATCATCCTCCAATCACAACAAAATGTTTTCTGTTTATCAATTGCTATAAGTTAATGTTCTCGATACTAACAATGCATTACGCTGGTTATACGAGAATTAGTGTTATGAAATAGCTGTAATTTTGTAAGTATAGGCATAATACATATGATCGACTTAGTATTCACTTTTTGTCAGTATTATTCCATACTTATTTTGTGCACAAAATTTTAAACAATAAAAGGTATTTTATTTCAAATAAAACTAAATTATTTTGAAAAACTCTAACTTAATGCAAAGATAATTAATATGAGATTGTTGTTCTGATTATTTCAAACTTCACATGTGGGCGATCAAATATTTAGTATTTTCACATAACACAATCTCAAACGGAATAACACGTAACAATGTTATCCGGAAGTTTTATCATTTTGAAATGGAACGACGTCTCCTTACTTTAACACATCATTGAGTACTTTCGACTATCTTAACAAGAGAGACGGTCGTTACTCGCTCCTGAAATTTCCAGGTGTGCACGCATATTGTGTGTTTGCTCATCTATAAAGATACTTATACATATACACACGATATATATAAAGGTAAAACCTAGATATTCTTTTTTCAAAAAATAACTTGCAAAAATTATTTCTCAGTATTCAATTTTGTGACAATTAAAATAATTGTCCTCTTTTCTTTAATTTAGTTTGCAATATTTGAAATATATTTAAAAGAGGAAGAACTTGCGCGCAAGAAAAATATTTTATTCCAAAAACATTAAAACCGACTAATTTTTAATATTATTTTAATACTTAGACCGATTATTGCGAAGAATATTACTAAGGCGGTAGTCTAACTGGTAGGACGCTCGCACGAAATGTAAGAGATCCGGGTTTGACTCCCGGCCATGGTAATATTTTTCACAATATAAATTAATTGTTTACAGATTTTCATTCATAGATTTTAATATGTCGTTCAACATTATTAAGATTCAAGATGCTATGAGCATCTAAATTGTTAAATTGCTAGATAATTTAACTCGTGATATTACTTCGTACGGTTTTTCTTGGAGTGGCGTTTCAAGACCAAAAAATTGTTTGGCGCGCGGTTTAAATGACTACACACACACACACAGAATTGTAATTAGCACCTAAGATCCAGCTGGACCGTTGAAGGCAATTTCTTATTGGTTGTTTAAATATTATGACAGATTTGTATCTAAGATTTCGGCAATAGGAAATATCTCGGTAATTGATCAAGGTGAAATATCCAGTACGTACAAGTACATACATTATAAGTGAATATATGTATTCGATAATCGTTTTAGCAGGGCGAAGGTTGTCTTTAATTGGCTAGATCGAAGGGCCTGGGAGAACAGTAGAAGAAGCAAATAGGGATCGCAAAGGTGGTTACCCCTGATTGCACGTTCTCAGTAGTGGTAAATGAACCGATCAAGCGTAACCGGCCAAGTGGTTGCCAAGAGAGTATTGGACTGCCCGTCACTATGTCGATGATATACATGTCGCACAGCATGCATATAGCCGGCACAAACGTCTCGGAGTAGGTACGCTGCCAGCGAGTGTGAATATCTGGGGCGACGATCAAAGGATAAGTGCAGCTACTAAATTAAATAAGCCGGCGAATATATTTCTATTTATAGAGACTAACGGGCGACTTTGTACATCTCTTTCTATATTATATACTTAATACATTATATTTGGCTACTACTGTATGCATTTTGGAGCATTTCTAAAAATGTCGACATTTAAATTTAAAACACAGTGCTGAATATACCCATACGAAAATCTGATTTCTAAATTGCATATTAAAATTATATTGTTTGTAAAAATAATAAATTGCAGTATTTAAATAGTAAATTTCTCATTAGTTAGATATGTGAAGTATATATAATATATATTATTATAAATATATAATGACAAAAAAACAGCTACTGTTGCCAAAATCGCTCATCAATATACTTTTTGGTTAATAAGAACTACTTGTATAGTATTGTGATAACCATAAGATTGACGCGTCTTAACGGCTATTAATGATATATCCCTCTTATGGTTATCACAACCAAATATATTAATGAAAATTATCATTATTTTCGATTGTGTGACAAACGTAGCGTCTTATTTCGTGTACTTAATGCAATGTATGTCGCTTTATACAGATACATCTAAAATTTACTTAATTAAATGTCTAAAATAATGTTCAATATTGAATATTTGTCGTTTAATTAACAACCAGCTTGGAAAGAAAAGTTGCAAGGAGCAGGTTTCTCACTACAACAGCAAAGCTTGTAGATGGAACAGCTGGCTTGATTGTAAAATGGATCGGAAGTGATCCGTTTAATCGAGCCCTACCCATCGCATGTACCATCTGAAATAGTTGGAATGGCTTAGGCTTAATTGTGTACCTGCGCACTGCCAAAGTGATACGTACTATTGAAGGAATTCCGATACATGCTACAAGGGTTAACATTTGATTGCGCGTATCGGCTTTGCATTTTCATTAAGCATAATGAATGTAGAGATGTACGAAAGGCTCTGTCACACTAATCGGTTCTCCTTTTTTTCCGCGACATTATACTTTCCATAACAGAAAGCGACCGCTTGAAATGCTTTAATACTCTTCTTTGATGCGATATTGGAGGATTGGCGGAAATTCATTTTAATCGTCAAAAATACGGCCGCTCAAGCTAACGTTTCATCCACTTAGCGACGGTATTAAATGATAAATCAGCGACGGCTATAGGCGAGCATCGTAAACCGATCCGCTTTCCATTTAACAATTTGCACGTTTTACGCGATACCGTATCTCGCTTCTCAAAATCAATAAAGTAGGAATGAGTCACGGCGGATATGTGCAAAATTCAACAGAATAAACTGTTTGCTATTTGCAGAGTGCTCCGGTGATGCATTGTTTATTTCACTATAAAATATAACGGACGTACCATTTTTTTTTTTTACATTTTTAGATCATCGAATATTGTGCAAGAAACATTTCATGAGAAGGATTAAGATTATCGCGATAACATTGAATTTTCCATTAGATTTTTGCATTATATTCTTGTTGTATAAAAAAACATTTTGGTTTCGAGTTCACGTTGAAACTTAATACAGCTGAAATTGTGTCGATCGAGTACAACAGTGGCTGTTATTGAAACAACAAAAACTTTCAAAAATTGACATCAGACTTTGTGTCGTTTTAATTTGTGAGTTTACATTAGCATATATTTTGACACTACCAAATGTAATACAACATTTCGGGACGTTGTAGCAATTAAAAATGTATCCTATTGTCTCGTGACATATACACACATGTAACCACTTATACCATACTCCGTTCTATAAAAGTGTACGCTGTATAATCCACCATTATTCTTCACCAGACTTTTTTTCAATTCGTCGTGGATGATTTCGAGCGTTGCTCGAAAATAAAAGCACATTGTACAATATGCGAGCCGCCCGAAGGTATTTCCAGGTGACACCCTTTCACATCGTGCCGGTAACTCCGATAATTGATTTAGCGGTGGATCAGGAACGTAACACATATAACTGCTCCGCGCGACGGCGGGGAGGAGGGTTCCGTTTAAACTTAGTTTAATTAAACCGTGGATTTATTGGGCACTTGATACGCGCACACGAAGACACGGTTATACGAGCGGGCGACAAGGGGGTATACGTCGGTGTACTAGAGTTGGTACGGGAGGATAAAGCGAGATAAAGTAGTGAGGCGAAGCTGACGGGTGAAAGGGTGAGTCGAGAAGAGAGAGAGAGAGAGAGAGAGAGGAGAAGGAAGGGGGGAAGAATGGTACATGTGTCTGCGAGCATCCTGTCGTGGCTGTGTGAGTGTATATGCCATGCAGACGAGACAAAATCTTCCAAATGGCCCCAGGAGAAATATTGCGGGGCATCAATTGGGATAATGGCGCGAGTGATCTAAGAAGAATCGCGAGGAAATCGGTCTCAGTGCCCCCAATGTCTACAGCACCCGCGGCATTTAGAGACAATATTTCCCATCTCGAAAATGTCACGGAATCGGCCGCGATGCATATTCAGCGGAATCGCACTTTAATGAAGGGCACCGACTGCTCTTGGGACGTGAAATGTACACTGCCAAGAGGTGAGCTCGCGGTTAATTGGGAAGAGAGACGAGATGAGACGAGAAGCACTTAGACTATACAGTTCTTGACTTATCTCACGATGATTGCTCGGTTATTTTCGATAATTTTCTTATTACTTTAAAATATATATTGTTCCTGAGAAATATCTATCATTTTTTATTAATTTTTTTGTGTGAATTTTTTTAGAGATTGCTTGGACTTTTTTATTGGAGTTTGATTTAATGCACTAGGACGCACCATTAAAGCTGCTGTATACTGACACAATCTGAGCGTGAAAGTAAGAGACAAATATTTTAAATTATAAAATATATACTTTTTACTTATTTTTACCTAATAGCACAATAAAATATATTGAGAATTTTACGTTTAACCTATTTTTGTAATTATAAACACATATTTTTGTGTCAATTTGTACGATGGCTTTATAATATAGGTACACTAGTGCATCCAATTAAATTCGCTATTAGAAAATATTAATAGCATTGCGCAAAAATATACGTTATTTTTCTGATATTTTTAAATTGTAAAAAAATTTTTACAACTACACATTTTTATACATTTTTCTTCCTATGCACAGCACCTTTTTCTCAATTTGTTAGTGCAAAATATTCCATTCAGATAATAAATTTTAATTACAATTTTAATAGCACAGATTTGATAAAATGTCGAAAACACTATTACGTAGGAGAGACCTACATATGTATCACTCTAAATCGATGTTCTTGAAACGTTGTGCATTTCGAGATTCAAGCTTAGTACTGAAACCACTAATATACGCATTTAAGGAGCTGAAATGCATACGTAATTAGATTGCATCCCGTTGAAACGTATCCAATTGCAGGCAACTCATTACACGAAGTAGAATTACAAACACTAGTTTCCACTTATTTAAATGTGTTTTATCTTAAATTTAATTAGTGTATTCTACATATTTATATTATGTTATAATAAAGTACTGTATCAGTTAATGCTATTTAGTATTTGACAAAAGTTTACAAGAGTAATGTCTATAATTCTTCAAAAAAATCATATTTATACAACCTAATACTGCTTATAAATATCACTTTAAAATAATAGGATTACTTAGAAATTTTGAAGATTATTTTGAAGTAACAGATAATTAATGAAGTAGATTTAAAGTGATTAATTATGCTTTGCTTTATTCTTTTTAGCAAGAAACTTTTAATTAAATCTTTATCATATATACAAAATAATTTTCAATTTATAATAACAATAACATTTACTTGAACGATTTTCATGAAATATATTTTAAATATTTATATATTTTTTTATTTTTAAATATTTTTTAATTTCCAATGATCGTAATCGATGCTTTAATGATTTTTGAGTTTGTTTTGTGACAACTTGTTTCTCTCTCATTCTCATCTTCAGGTATCTTTTCTCTTTGATGAAAAATTTTGACCCTTAAGCACTTCTTTAAGGATTGTTATCTTCCACAGAAAATTTGTTTTAAGATCGTTCCTCGTAATCTATAAAATTTGACAGACATTTAGGGAGACGTCCATTGACTTTTAATTTACCATATTCTCGTTTACAGAATTACCATGCTTAATGCTCTATTGAGAAATATGCAAATAGGGCAACAAGCCATCGTTTTTCTTATCATGGAGTATATTGACGTAATTGCGACAAAGCAGCCGTGGAACGATAATACCTACATGACAAAAGAGTTAAGTAGGGCTTTTATCACTTTGCATCCTTGAGCGAACGGTGACTTGCATTTTCTTTGTCAACTTATGTCGTATAAAGATCGCATACAGTTTAACGCACTGGAAATTTTCATCGGCTAGGATTTCTGAATTGCGGAATAACGATACATGATAAATTCATATTGAAAGTTATCATCATATAAAACCCTATTACAATAAAATTGCGAGAATTTGCGAAAATGTTTTTACAGCTTTAATGACTGTTTTGATAGCAATAACGGAAAAAGAAAATCAAATTTAATTTCATATTTTGCATGTGTCTGTGTGCTTCAACTTTGTATGAAAAAAAAACAAATTAAAATACTTTTTAAGATTTTAACGGAAAGGGGAAAAAATGCAATCGTCAGCGCATATTCGAAACCCATCCTTCTAATCCTTGGCAAGGTGGAGTGTTTGTGGACGAAAGCGTCTCTAGGATTTCCTCTAGAAACGTCTTTCGATTACGAACCTCTGTCCTAGAGTTTGCTCAGTGGACGAAGGGTCCTGTCCATTACTCGATCGAACCACACCCACTGCTACGCTGGTGATTCCCAATATCCCCGACGAAGTGTCAGCTAAATAGGAAACAAAAACTACCATGCTATTCAATATAAAAAATACAAATGGTATTATACAGAAGAGTGAATATATAAAATAACATTTAAAAAAATTAGAATTAACATAATGAGACAGAAAGAATAATTCTATTTCTATTTCCAATAAAATTTAAAAGCAAAATATTCATCTGGTGAAAGAAAAAAAAATTAGTCGCATTTCTGACTGTAATTAACAAATATATAAGTGGAAGAGACTAATTTTGTGAGAAAGATTTTTATCAAATTGCAGTTAAGTGCTTTGTTATATAAATGTACGCAAAGTCAACAACAATGGCTAGCGAGAACAAGTGGGCCAGATTCTCTGTCTTCGACTCGACGGAAGAACAACAGCTCGCGGGGAACGATTGCTTTCAATTACCTTTATCTGTATTTACTGTGACCGACGAAAGGCAGGCCGGGTATAATTGGCACTCGTTCCTTGGGGATTGTCCCTTGGATAGACGCGCGGATAGAATTAGCCTGCTTCTGTGACTGCTTCTAAGTCTTCGTCTGTCGTGAAATTTACTGTGACCGTTACTCCAGATTCAGCAAATTGGACATATCGGAGAAGTTTAAAGTTATCTTGCTTTCTTTGCAGACGCAAGAAGACGAACGATAGCAATCTTTGTTAACATTAATTGGCAACAATTTGAACAATGATTTTTATATACCCTTAGCCTCTCATTATTTTTTGATTTAATTTCAAATAGATAAATATAAACTTGCATATATTACGTTTATATGTAAAAATTATCTATATGTATACTGTAAATATTATTTTCTTAATTCAAATAATATATTAATATAGTAGTAAGACGTATCTGACATTAAAACCGACTAAAATATATTAAAACTATTTAATATTCGAATATTTTATCTAAGAATTATCTTAAAAACAATCTTAAAAATTGT